AGGTGCGCTGTGTGATGAGCAAATCCCAGTTGGATTAAAAGATGGGAAAAACTATTATACGGGAAATAAATGGTATTGAAAGAGTTTTCATCAATTAAAACCCACCTGTGAATTTTGATAAATTTCACCCGATTGGTAACCAATTATGATACTGGTTGATTGGTCAAAAAATTTTTGAATATCATATCTTTCCAGTATCATAGTTGAACCTTTATTTATTTAGTTTTGAACAAGTTTCTTTTAAGTTCTAACATTGGAAATGATGGACTAGGTAAGGGTCAGACTTGGGCTGGATTGGGTTAGGATAAGGTCAACCCTAGCCCAATCCAATCCATTCTTCAACCTGAACTTCTCAATTCTAGCCCAACCCAATAAAAAATGGCTTGGGTTTGGGTTTGGGTTTGCACATTAACAATATTAATATGTACATGTGCAAGACAATGCACACGAAAACATACAAATACATGGCATTTATGCAAATTAAATAATATTTAAGAAGCATCATTTGTCGTCTTGCCTCTCAAAGCTACGCCTCATCAGCAGAAATCATCTCATTCAAGTTGTTCTTTGCTAATGATAGAAACATAAAGAAATCAACTCTACAAAGTACAAACCATGAGGATTTAATGGGAATTAAGTTACATGACACAGCTAAATTATTAATACAAATGTTCAATTTGTACCACTACACCGCCCGACCCTTCCACAGGCCACAAGAGCTACTGACATTAAGAAAATATTATCATTTTGTGTCCTGATCCAGCAATTTAAATATATAGACGTGCCAATATAGGAGAGATTAGATACCTGAACAGAACAATAAACAAAAAAAAAAAAAAAATTAGCAAGGGAAAACACAAACAAGTTGGGATTAAACCCTAGTTAATTAACAACATAAAAAGAAGGCCCATTTTATACTTACCAAACTTAGGAAACAGGATTTTCAGTGGATTGCTTTATTGATGGCCTCCTGTAATTCCAAAGCTAATTAGGAAAACTACATCTATATAGTCATGATTATAAAAAGAAACAGCAGAACTCTGGAACAAGATCAAATCAGCCTCCCACAAAGTCCCACAGCATATCTCTGCTGTGTATTGAGAACATCTCCCAATGATAATATCAGAAATGATGATGTTATCATTGGAAGATGTTCCCAATACACGGAGGAAGTATACTGTGGGACATTGTGACTATGGGGGCAATCTTTAAGGGGGGATAATTTAAACTCCTCTGGAGCCATATCCATTTAGGAGAGTTTTCAGGTAGCGGCTTCTGACTTTATGAGGTGGGCTCTGCCCAAACCACAAGTTATGTTTGGTGAAAACCCTAGAAAGCCCAAATAAACAGTCTTTCAACCAAAAATAGGTCTTTTCATTGAAAAGTTTTTAGTGGCTTCCCAAAGCAGCTCAATGGAAATTCTATCTTTTTCCCTCGGTTGTGTATCCTAATCAGTTATAACGAAGGAGCAAACTTTGACTAAGTTTGACAGCCTGGGCTATCAATAGAATAGTCCATGTATGCCCCTTTGGTTCACACACAAACTACTTGTAACATAGTAGTCCCTGAACGCTGGCTGTCAACAGGGAGAGAGATCCCTGCTGACACTGAAGTGGCTGTTGACTTTAGACAACTAAGTTTTTTTCAAGAGTAAAAGTACAAGCTAGCCCCATCTTGAGATACAGTTTTATCTCAAGGCTGAGTGCAACTTGTGTAGTTGGATTGAGCATTTGTCAAAGTTTAAATTGTTAGACAGTTTTGTATGCCCTTAGTTCCAATCAGTTTTGATGTACTTTAGACATTTAGTGTAAATGAATAAAGTGCATGTTTGATTCATGTTGTGTGGTATGTTTCTGTGTAAGACCCTTAAATTGGACACTTAATAAAACTCGTGTTAGTTTAGAATGTTCGCAACCGTTGGATAAGTCTGTGAAGATTTATCCTGCCAAGGCTGACATTGGTGTGCTGCCAAATGTTGAGGTGGTCTGTCTCAGCCGCCAGGGTGAGACCCAAGGCGCATGCAGTGTAGGATTACTTGAATCTTTGAACCAGACCAGATTTCTAGTATTGCCCTGGACCTTGGAGATTGATGGGCAAAATTGGAAAGTTACACCTGACCCTTAGACTCGATTATGATACTACACTAGGTGTCGGATTGGGTTGTCTTTGATATGCCAATCAGTGAGATCCTTAGCGGGGGTCAAAACCTGGGTATGTTGG